CAGGACAGTGCTATATAGAGGAATCTTGTCTCAAAAACAAAACAAAAACTCAATACACGAAAGTAATATTTCTTAAAGACCAAAAATCTAAAAGAAAAAAAGCAAATTAAAACTTTTAAATGTCATCAGAAGAATAAAACACTTGAGAATGAACTCTCCCAAGGAGATAAAAGACTTGTACAATGCAAACTACAAAACATTGCTGAACGAAATTAAAGACATAAATAAGTGGAAACATATCCCATGTTCATGGATTGAAGAATGATGCTGTTAAGATGGCAATACTGCTAAAGTGACTGCCAGACTTTATACAGTCTCTACATGCCATGGTCTAAGTGTATACCTCCAAGTTTATACTCTGGAACCTAATTACTATTATAACAGTGTTTGGAGCTGGAGCCCTTGGAAGTAATTAGGTCAAGGGGAATGAATAGGATTATTGCTCTGATATAATAAGCTCTTTATTATTGTTGTTGTTATTTTTAATTACATTTATTTATTGTGCAAGGCAATTGGGAGGGCAAGTGCCATAGTGCACCTATGGAGGTCAGAGGACAACTTTTAGGGGTCAGTTTTTTTTTTTCACCATGTGAGTCTGGGAGATTGAATTAAGGCCATCAGTTATCCAAGATTCATCCATTCATCTATCCAGACATCTAGATAGCCATTTATCCATCCATCCATCCGTATTTTCATCTATCATCCATTATCTATCCATCCATCTTCTATCAGTCCAATCATTCGTTTATTTTTCAACAAATTACTATGATCACATACTATGTGCAGGCCCTGTACCAAGCAGAGATATTCCCAGATGAGTGATGGATGACGAATGGATAGATAAGTGGATAGATGCTAGGATGGATGGATGGATGGATGGATGGACTGATGATGGATGGATACATGGATGAATAGATGGATGGATGCTTGGACGGATGAATGAATAACTTGGCTAACTGATGGTCTCAGACATACCTGGGCTCACAGCAGCCCAGGGTGTTATCTTGATTCCCAAACCCTGCCCACAGTGTGAGTCACACAATCTCAAGCAACCACACACTTCTTTCCACAGTGAGATTGTCCTGAGAGGCCCAAGCCTCAGAGAGTGTCAGGAAAACTCTGCTCACACACAGTTCCTGCCAGTGTCTGGTGACTGCTGATCGTTGGTGTGATCCCTGTGAGTCAGAGCTGCTGTTGCCCTGATGTGCTTCCGCTTTCAGCAGCATTGTGATGTGTTTTAAAGAAAAGTCAGAAGCAGCAGATTCTGCCTGTAGGCGAAGGTTGCAGACCACTCAGATGTGATTTGTCCTCAATTTCAGTCTGACTGGACCTGTGGTTGGAAGCGGCAAAGAAGGAAACTGGTGGCCTCGCTCCTGTAACGTGAGGAAGAGATTTGCAGCAGTCACTGGGAAGAAACCATCCCGGCCAGCCTCTTCTGCTGCATGTACAGTCTTCTTGGCACCTCCTGTGGTCAGGCTCGGGTCTGGCTCTTTCCTCACACGCCCTGGACTCTCACCCCTGCTCCTGACTAGAGATCTCCTCCTGCCAGGAAAGCTGTCTCTCACAACTCCACGTCTCACTTCCAAACACACTCCAGTCTAAGTTCACTCATTTTTGGTCAGGTCACCAGAGCCGAGGGCCTTGGGGGTCTAGGAATCCTCACTGTCCATGGTGCAGCTGCCCTTGTGATGCTCTGATGATGTGTGTTTTGCAGCTTAAGGGAATGGAGCTATCATCTCTGGGGGATGACTCTCTGGAGGCAATAGAAAGGCGCCCAGGTCCAGCTCAGCTCTTTTCTTCCTCATCTCAGAGAAGTCTTTACCCACAGCTTGACCTTCAGTACAATTAAGACTCCATTTTTTAAGAAAGTAAGTGTGTGTGTGTGTGTGTGTGTGTGTGTGTGTGTGTGTGTGTGTGTGCATGTGCACTGTAAGTGCATATACATGTTGGTGACATAAAAGTTCATGGACATATGTGTGCATGCGTGTGTAAGTTGATGGTGGGTGTCTTCCTCGACCATTCTCCATCTTGTTTTTTGAGACAAGATTGCCCCTGAACCAGGGGCTCACCAGTTCAGCAAGACAAGTTGGACCGTGAGCCCCAAGGATTTTGCTGTCTCTGCCTTTCCAGCTCTGGGATTACAGGTGCTCACCACCATTCCTGGTTTTTAGTGGAGGGCTAAGCCATTTCCCCAGCATCCCAACCCCTTTTTTCTTTTTTTTTTACTTCTGAGTATCAAGTAGGATCCTGGTGACAAGCGTGCTCTGTGAACCATGGAGCGGCGGCACGCATGTGGGGAGAATCGTCCGCGTCATCACTTTCCTTCTCTCGGTTGACTGTCTCTGCCGTTATCACCGTCATCTTCAGCACCGTCACCATCCTCTCTCCACCCTCTCACTTCTCATACTCACACGTTATCTTCCAGACTGGCTTGCCAGCATCTCACGGTTCGGGACCAGTGACTTACTTCCAGCCCCCACTCCTCCCACACAGAGCAGAGGGCTCTGTACACAGCGGGCACCAGAGATGGTTTCCAAATGACTGGACTGGTAAGCTCAGGGGAAATCAAATCCCAGGAAGAGCACTGTGTCTGAGAGTGTCCTCCACGGCCCCTGCTTCTTTCCGTCCGGCATCTTGAAACAAACACAGAAAGCCAGGCCGTGACAAAAGTCAAGGGGCCCCCACCTGCTGGGGAGGCTCTGTCCCGTGTCACATTAGTACCCGGATGCTTCTCATTCCACAGTCCTCCAGCCTTTCTAGGAAAGGAGTCCACACACGGAGCAAGCCAGGGCCTTGCTAACGCTAGGAGGGCTGTCATGGGCCCTTCTCAGCCTTGAAGTGGAACTCCACCTCTTGGCCTTTGACTATTCTGAAGGGGACAATGACCCCACTGGAAGAAGCCCCTCTCTTTTCAGTGAGATGGCTAGTTGTACATGCTATTCCATAGATTTCTCTCGGCCCCTCTGCAAAGGTCTTCCTCACTCCTGTGGGCGTGAGGAAACCGAGAAGTGAAGGCATCGGCTTCAGGGTCATGAGGGGGGTGAGGCACGGTAGCTCGCTTCTCAGTACCCAGCGAACATTCAGAGGCGTGCTGCCTGAGCCTTCTGCCAGGTCTCTCTCCCCCAGTCCCTGGCTCCCCACCACACAGGACGTTATGGTCAACCACATCCTGACACGTCCCTGCAGAGGAGCTATCAGCCCCTGCCACCAGCATTCTCTGTCCCACCACAGCCTGGCTGGCCCACGAAGGCTCAGAGCCTTCCTTCACACTTTGACAACCACAGGGTGTTGGAGCTAGAAGGGCCTCGTTCCAAGCTCCAGCTCCAGAGTCAGCTTGGGAGCTTGCCTACACTGCAGATCTGTAGGCCAGCTGGGGGATGGAGAAAAGGAAGCAAGGTCCGGGAATCTGGGTTCATGGCACTCACTAGAGCGATCCCATTAGAGCTTCAGTCTGGAAGCCTCTAGTCCAGACGTGTGTGTGTGTGTGTGTGTGTGTGTGTGTGTGTGTGTGTGTGTGTGTGTGTGTGTGTGTGTGTTTAAAGACCAGGAGTCAATCTCAAGTACAAAATATTGTTCCTTAGAATCTGTCCACCTTGTTTTTGTTGGTTGTTGTTATTGGGATGGGGGGGGGGGCTCACTGATTCAGCTCGACCAGGAATCCACCTATCTCTGCCTCCTGGGCACTAGTATTACATGTACATGCCACCACACCCAGCTGGAGGCAGAACTCCACAGGCTTATTCCTCAGGCACTCTACCAATAGAGAATCTCCCTAGTCCCTAGCCCGGAAAGGAAGAGGGACCTTCCCTGGCTCCTTAGCTTGTAGGACCTCAGTGTCTTTGGCTGGTCTGTGACGCACTTGTCACGGGGGCTGCCAAAGGCTACTGAACTCATACTTTGACCTTAGAAAAGTGGGTTAAGGAAGTTCATGAAGCCAGCTTGAGATAGGACTCACTTAGCTCCACGTGGGCAAGAAGAACAATGCTTCATAGAGGGGAGAGAGGCCTTTGAAGGGACCTTCAGGAAGAACCACGGGGATTAAGGCTGAATCAAGTGGACATTGAGAATCTCACCTTCTTAGAGCAGTGGGATGTTAGACCTCGGCCCAAAATAGTAACCCCTTTCCCCAGGGGAGATGTAGAGTGGTTAGAGGCCCAAACTAGGTTAGGTTACAGCCTAGTTTTAATCTGGCTATGTCCAGGCTTATGTTTTGTTGAGGGCCATTTCTAAAGCTGGAAAATATTCACGACCTGGCCGTTAACAGAAAGGGACTGCCAGTCCCTGCTGCCCTCCAATCAACAACTAGCAAAGATGTGTTCCTGTGACTCTATGAGAAAGTCCCTGGATTTCCAGGCATGTTTCCTCACTACCACGGCAGCATGCTGCTGGGGAAGATTGCAGGCACTTCAAAAAACAAAAGCAAAAGCAAAACGGTTGAATGAGTCACCTACTGCAATGAGCTAGCTTCATTCCAGTTACACAAATGAGAAGAATGAAGCTTCTAAAAAAACTAACCATACAGTTCAAGGTCAGGGAACCAGAAAGTGGGGACTAGGATTTGTCTTATTTGAGGTACAGCATCTTGACTCACAAATTTGAAGCCAGGACCTTGTAAAACCTTACAAGAAATTTACAGAAATGGAAAGCTAGGTGAAGCCTTTTTTATTGTTATTTTATCATATTTTATCATGACTGTGTGTGTGCTTGTGTGTGTGCATGTGTGCTGGTGCCTGTGAAGAGAAGAAGAAGGCGTTGGAATCCCTGGAGCTGGAGCTACAGTTAGTTCAATTAAGTCTTTGGGGAAGGGCTAAATCATGAAGTTGGGGGAAGAGATAAACCTTTGTATGAAAGGATAAACAGACCCTGTTCTGCTGTGAACATAAATACCTTTAATCATATAGCTGGCTAATTCGTACGATAGTGTTAGCTTCTTCCTGGACCTGTGTTCTTCTTAACTAGTGATAAATAATGGAGGTGTTTTTTTTTCCAGCTGGGGTCAAAGGAGGACACTTCAAAGAGTGAAGAAGAGTGAGAGCCAAGCAGGCTTGCCAGAAGTCATTCAAAACCATCGAGGTTCTGGTCTCAGTGATGTGTCTTCAGATGGCAGCCTGGGCCACTACCTGGCAGTGGGACTGTGGAGCAGATGCCCTCCCTAGGGAGCCTGTGACCATGAAACCTTCCCTACCTTGAGCTTCTCAGAACTCTCTGTGGCTGAATCAGCCTGATGCCCTGCCTGGCTCACAGGGAAACTTCGGAGGTCCAAGACACATTCTCTTGCATTTGATGATTGCTTGCATTCAGGGCCACTTGGACAAAAGCAATCATAGAAAGCACAATGTCATTAGCCTCAGCTGCTTGGAATGATGTGCTTGCACATAAATTAGAGGAGGTCTTGGACTAGGATTCCATGTTGAGTGCTGATGGTGCAGAGTCATCAGCATGGTTAACTTATACTGAAGTTTCACGTCACCAAAACTGAGCTACGTGGTTGTCCGATCGTCCAAGCCAGCAGGAGAGATAGGACCCAACGTAACCTCACGTTTACCAATGTGACCCCAGCCAGCACTGTGAGGGATGAAGACAGGGGTCACTGGGACTTGTGGCCACCAGCCTAGCTCCAAGTTCAGTGAGAGACCCTGTCAGAAGGAACACAGCCGAGTGCCAGGGCAGGACATCTTAGCATCTTCCTCTGGCCTGCACACAGCCTGTCATTTGAAAGCGCCTTTCCCGAGGAAGCCAAACCCACAAGAGGTCATTTCTAGTCTCGCTGTTTCTTGTGGAGCGAAAACACAAACCGAAGAGCAACCATCCTGTTTTCACAGGATTTCCCCCTCTAAATTTCACAATATTCCACTGTATCGAGGAATGGTCAATTTGGGTTGCAAAAGGAAACAAACACAAGGAACAAGTCACAGATACTTGTGGTTCAGCTGACGCTCCTGGGAAAAGCAGAGGGCAGACTCCGTTGGAGCTGCTGGGAGGCTTCAGGGATTCTGGCAAGGCCACGAGGCATCTAGCCATCTAGCAAGCAGGTTGTTCACAAGCAGCTGAAGGTGATGTCTGTCAGGCGAACAGCCTGCCTGGTGTCATCCATCCCTCATGAAACTGAAGTAGGCACAGGAGATTTCCATACAGGAAAAACACAGATCAGAGGCGTTCCCAGCCTTTCTCAGGGACAAATGAGCAGTCATTACCTCCTTTGGGCCTTGTACTGCAGGTGTCCAATACAGGGCCGACCCATGGGGGGAAGAAACCATTGTTAATGGGACGGAAATGATGGAGCCCGGCCCAGAACCAGGAGAATGTGCTCAGAGAGCTAGGCTCTTCCAACTTATTTACAAAGCATTTGTAGTGGGGGAGGGGGCATGATCCATGGGGGGTAGAGGCAGGAGGATCAGAAATTCAAGGTCATCCTTCAATACATAGTGAGTTCCAGACCCCGTGGTCCGGGCTGCTGGAGATCCTGTCTCAAACTATTCCTACCCTCCCCCACAAATTATGAAATGTGGGCTGCCGATCAAGCCCCACGGCTGCTCCATGCAAAAGATAGAGTCTGCCACTTGTCATTTGCCTAGGGTCACCTGCACTTTCATGCTCGTCCCTCTCCCCAACTTGCTCACGGGGATGGACAGCTATATGCCTCCTTTGGCTTTTCTTCTGTTGGAATCTTTTACAAAGTGCCTAGGAAGAGATCACTGGGCTTGCATGAGGCTGGAAGCCACATCCTTCAAAGGAAGGGTCTGCAGGAGCATCCCCGGCAGCCTCCCGGTTCCCCAGGCTATTCCCTCTCCAAGCTCCAAGGCTTCCCACACTTATGCAAAGCATCCTGGCTGAGTCTCTGAGTGCTGGAGGGAAACTCTAAACCTCAGAGTGAAATTAAGAGGCCGATTGGCCCTCGGGGAAATGAGACAAGAACTAGCCTGGGGTGAACCACTGGCTTGAAACTGTTTCCCCAGATGAGTCACAGCGCTATCCACACAAGAAGGAATGCCCCTTCCCATCCCCCAAAAGAGGCTCAGCTAATCTGGAAGATTTGCCTGGTTACATGGCCAGAGGAACCAGAGGCAAAGAGCAAGAGATGGGGGTGATTGCTTACCAAAGAAACCACAACCACCTTCCGCCAGCCTGGGTGGGGCTGCCTCTCTTTTAACCTGTCAAACTGCTTGTCAGCACCTCCATTTCCTGCCAGCCCTTAGTTTAGAGCAGACCTTTGTGTGCCTCACAAGAGACCGTGCCCCAAATCCCGTCTCCTCTCTCAAGGAAGACAGCCATGGTCTTTTGGCTTGTCCCCAACAAAAAGGTGTTGAATCCCAGGGGCCAGGCACTGTGCAAGTTAGAGACCAGGGAAACAGAGAGCTGCAAAGGCTGGCATGGGGTGCCTATCCTTGTGGGGCTGATAGTCAGGCAAAATCAAATAATCACTACAGAGAGCATTCACCAAGAGCACGGGTTCTGTCTGTACTGTTCACTGCTGTAGAGTTAAGGCCAGGACAACTGTCTGGACTCTGACAGGGACTCAGCATGTATGTGGCAATCAAGTAAACTCTGGTAATACCTTCCAGCCATTATCATCATTATCATTATTATAACCTATCATCATTTTTTGTTTGCTTGTTTGCTTATTGATACAGGGTCTCACTATGTAGACCAGCTTGGCCTAGAACTCACAGAGATCCACCTGCCTCTGCCTCTCAAACACTGAGCTCGAAGGCGTGCGCCATGCCTGGCTTTGGCAGTCTCCTTGATACAATAGTTAAACACAGCAGCAGCGATGTGCCCCCCTCTCTCAAGATCTCTTCTTTCTGTGTAGGGCCAGAAAGTCTTCTTTGCAGGAGTGATATGCCAGCCAACACCCAAGGGGTGAGTAGGAGGCGGCTACAGAAAGGGTGGGCTGTCTAGGGAGCGCGGTCCAGAAGTTAGGAGAAGCAGGGGAAGGGCCCGAGGTTGAAGGAAGCCGCTTTGGTGAGGGGCTCACTGGAGAAGAGGTTCTTGGGAAATGGAGGAAAGGGTCTGTCTGAAGAGGACAGGACAGAGTAGCCTGGTAGCACTAAGAGGTCGAGTGTGCAGCAGGGACCTATGTGGCCAGACTCCTGTTGCCATCACAAGGTCAAAGGACCACTAGGAAAGCACATGAGTGAGCGGGTCCAACTGTGGGGGACTGTCGGGAGCTGAGGGGTTTGTGACAGCTGAGGCTGGAATGTAAAGTGATGTATTTCTAACTTACTGCCAAGGTCACCCTCGCTTCGCCGTGTAATGTGCTTCATTTAACCAATGCCAGCATCACATGACAGCTCACCAGATGCCAAGCGAAAGGCTGGGCCAACAGCAGCTCACTCTGTCCTGACAGCGCGGCCCTGGGAGATAGGAGGTGCCTCCATTAGCCGCTTTGAAAGACGGAGCGTCTTGGGCAGGGTGTTCAAACCAAAACCATAGGTGACAACATGACAGAGTCTTCCTCAGTTCCTGGGGGGCATGGAGAGCTCCAGAACCCCACATGTGCCTGTGGAGGGAGGAAGAAGAGCATGGAGAGGAAGAGAGGGAGGCGGCAGCTGCCTGGTTGCTGCCGCTGAGGAAGACAGATGGGACAGGAGCAAAAGTCGGGCAGCTGTCACGGGGTCCAGAGAGCCAGCCACTGTGAGGCCAGCAGAGCTACTATGAAGACACGGGTCCTTGTTCCTGGCTTGGCTGCCATCGGCGACTTCTATCCGCGTGATCCCGGGTCTTTTCAGTTTGCCCTCCACTGGAGCATCTACTCTTTTTTGGTTGACTCTGGAGATGAAGACAGTAGAAGGTGAATTTTGGGGAAGGTGAATTGGAAAGATGTCTGTGATAAGTCTTTGCACCCCATAAGCCTCTCTGCCAATGCAGCAATCCAAATCAAACCAAATTAGAAAAAGCCCCGGTTTAATGGGTAAAGAGTTCCCAGGTGATTCTCCAGTTCCCTAGAGAGGAGACAGGGACGAGAGACCAAAAAAAATCATGTCTGTTTTCTGAGATGAAGCTTAAATTCCCTGTGGGAGTGGTCTTGAGCCTTCCTGGGGGGAGGAGCCATGTTTGGCAGGCTTTGAGGGGGTGGGCTTGGGGAAAGAAATGGGGGAGGGGAGTTGAGGTGGATCTTCCATCAGAACATTCCAGACATTTTGGGTATGTATATGCCAGGGGCTGAGGTGGAGCTTCCACCAGAACAGTCTGTAAAAGCTCCCTGGATTTGCTATTTTCCTGAATATAAGATCTATAGCAAATTCTTTTTCTTCAGAATTGTGTAGCATTGCTTATTTGCCTCCTATTTTCTCCACAGGTTGCTGTAGAGAAGTCCACCCTTGATTAGCAGTTTGGCTGGGTATAAAAATCCAGTCAGAGCCAGCTTGCAGAGCTGTTGTTGAGGACTGGGTGCTCTATTTTTCTTCCTTTCCCCAGCCTTCCGTTGTTATGGAGGTCCTTGCTGGCCTCACACCCCCTCTGTAGCCAAGATAACCTTGAACTCCTGATTCTCCTGCTTTGGCCTCCAAGGTGCTGCCTTCCCAGGCATGAGCCAGCACCGGGTTTCTCTGACCTATTATATATGGCTTTGCTGCTATTGTTTGCTATTTTTTTTGGGGGGGGAGGGGCTTTTTACCTGGCAGCTCTCAGTATCTTCTCTTTATCTTTGAAATTTCACAATCTGCCTTGACGTGGACCTTCTGCCCTCCGCTGTGGTGAATTGAGACTAGTTAAAACTGATTTCAGTTCTGGGAGCTTTCTTGTTATGACATTTCCATGAATATTGCTCCTGTCCCACCCTACATCAGTTCTTTCTTTACTGTTCGCTTTCTGGAACTTGGTATTCCAATGTTAAATGCCCTGATACGTGATCCATTTTCTAAAATCTTTCCTGTTTGTTATCTATTTATCTTTTTGTTTTATTGCCTGAACATTGCTTACATTGGTATGTGTGCATGCGTGCATGCCTCGTGTGTGTGTGTGTGTGTGTGTGTGTGTGTGTGTGTGTGTGTGTAGTAATGATAGAGTTTCATACTGCTCAGTCTATCCTCAAGCTCACTACCTACCTGAGAAGGTCTTGAACTTCTGATCCTATTAGGATGACAGCTGTGCCCCTTCACATCCTGTCCATAAGGTGTCGGGGACTGAACTCAGGACTTTGTGTATGGTAGGCAAGCACTCTACCAACTGAGCTACAATCCCCAGTTCCCCCAATATTTGTTTTAGACAAGGTCTCATGTAACCCAGGCTAGCCTGGAACTTGCTATGAAGCCAAGGCATAGTTGAATTCTGTGGGCACTGTCCAAAGCATTCTAAAACATCAAATTACCTGAATCCCCATAGCAACTCCTTGAAGAAAGTATTCACACTAACCCCAGAAACCTGAAGTACAGAGAGGGCAAGCACTCTGCCCAAGATTGCCCAGCTTCTGAGGATTCAGGAAGGATACACAGTTAATGACACACTGACCCCAGAGACATCTCTGCTTAGCCTCCAGGATCCTCAGTTTCCTCATCTGTATGACAGCAAGTGACTTCACTCAGAAAGCTGCTCTGAGAGAGAAATGAGGGAACTCAGGCAAGGCCTACACAGAACAGACCATCCACAAATATTACCATCCTTACCATTGTCGTGTGTCTGTGTCTGTGTGTGAGCCTAAGGGTGGGTGTCTCACAGTGCAATGCGGAGGTCAGTGGACAACTCAGAAGTTGCATTCTTTCACATGTCATTTGGAATCTGTCATTTGAGCCTCTCGGCTCTTTTGGGAGCCAGAAGTGCTGTTCAAGACCCAAGCAAAGGAGTCAGTTTTCTCATCCCACTGTGGGTCCCCAGGGTGGAGCTCAGGTTGTCGGGCTTCCCTGCTGAGCCATCTTACCAGCTCCGGTTTTTACCATAGAACATGCCCACCATTGGTCTTGAATGCCATTACTTTGAAAAGCTACATTGTAGGCCTACCTAACGGCCTCTGATGGCCATGAACCGCCACGGTTGTGTGAGATGAGCTGCCAAGTTAAGGTGGCCATTAACTCAGAGAAGCAAGATGAGGTAGGACGTGGACAAGGGTGGGCAGATCTGGAGGAGCGAGGGAAACTCCAGGAGGCTGGGTCCGCAGTGCAGGCCCCTAAGCGTTACTTCTGTGAATCCAAAGAGCGGCAAAGCTCGGAAAAACAGACCCAAACTAACATGTAAGGGGACACATGTAACCACTTACAGGCCAATTAATACTGGTGTGGGGAGAAGGCCACAGGGAAGGGGGGGCTCCAGGGTGGGAACAAGCAGAGAGCCAGGGCAGCCTTGCAGGCCTGCGGCTGAAATGGCTATTATGTGTCATCAGGAAACTTAAGAAGAGGGGAAAACAAGCCCCGATCAAAGTCCCTTTTGTCAAGTTCTCCAGATGAACAGATGACAGACTTTGCACTCCGAGCTCTGTTGCAAGGTCAGGCTAGTGGAGAGGGATTTGTGGGGACTTTCTTTTCTCTGCAGCTGCCACCCTGCAGAACTTACCACTCTGACAGCCCAGCTGTCTGAAACCGCTTGAGAAAGGCCTGCCTTCCGCGGGGCTTTTTGGAGGGGCAGTGAGGTAAAAAACTCTGGACCCTGAAGGCACACGGAGATTTTCTCTTTCCACGGCCTCTGCTGTGCTCAGGATCCCTGGAACCCAAGCTCATCAGCTTCCACTCCGGCCTCCACTTGGTGACCTTCTGGTGGTCCTCCGTGGATCACAGAGGGAAAACAGACTTCTAAAGCTGCCTTTGAAGCCCTTGACGTTCTGTCCCCCATCACCTCAGGGTTTGTGTGCCAGCCACACCAGGTTGCAGAGGCTCTCTCCACATGGGTTTTTCTCTTCTGTCCCCACATCACTGTCTTCTCTGCCACCCTCTCTGTCCTCCTCTCTCCTGCCCAGACCTTCCAAGGTCAAAGAGGGTCTCCAAGCTGTGTGTAATCCCTAGGCCTCCAAACACAGCCTTCAAGCACTTACCTCACTGGGGGCCCTCTCCATCCCTTGCTCTCTTTCTGCACTGGCCAGGCTGTGGAGGTCCACATGCTGCCTGACACAGAGAAGGTACTGTCTGTTACATGGATGTAGGAACAAGATAGAGGTCCACCAAAGCGTGGGAGAGCATAAAATGAAACCCAACAACAATCGTGTCTATGAATAGTTACTATGTAATGTTCCTTACCCCTCATAGAATGGTGGCTGCGTCTAACTGTTACACTCCAGTAGAGGACATGGGACATCCTTCTTGTGGTCTCATTGTGGTATAAACAGCAAGAGAGGGAAGATGTCAGTCTCACAGCTCTGGTCCTTTATAAATGCCGTGTGACGTCTGGAAGGAGGTCCTCTGTGCTGGCTTATAAACAAGCACTCCTGTGCTGGGGGCCCATGTGGCAAAGAGCTGTGGAAGGGAGACTTTGGATCTCAGGGGATGGTCCCCCAACCCACAGGAAAAATAAAGCCAAGACCCTCCCTTATGCAGTCACAAAGGAATGAATTCTACACACTGTCTACAAGAGGTTGGAAACGACCCTCTCCTCTCCTCAGTCAAGCCTCCCAGTGAGATTGCAGTCTGCCTAACACTGGATTGCAGCCTCCTGGGGCCCGCTGGGAAGACACCATTGAGCTACCTGATCTCATCAGGACAGTAAGAGAGGATAAATGCCTGTATTGTCTAAAGTTGCCCTCTTACTAGTAATTTGTTGCCCAACAATTAACAAACCAATAGACAAAATATTCTTAGAGATGTCTTCTTTGGGAGTGGGGATGTGGCTCAGTCAGTCGAGCGCTTGCAGAGCTACCGTAAGCATTGGGCTCAAGCCTGGCACTTTAATGGGGTGTGATTGCATGAGCCTATAATCCCAGCACTCGGGAGATCCACCTTGGTAGGTGGATCAGAAATTCAAGGTCGTCCTGGCTACAAATCAAGTTTGAGTCTAGTCTGGCCTATACGAAGCCCTGTCTCAAAAGGATAAAAATTCCCTTTTTGATCTGGAAGGTTCCACTCTGATGAGCTGGTCAGTTTGCAAGAAACTGTGGGCTGCCCAGTGGAAGCAGAACGGTCCAGGGAAAGATTGAGAAAGAGAGGCCACAATCAGACACAGGACAGGGAGAGCCCCTGCCTGATGTCAGGCTTCTGAGTTCCAGCCATCAGAGATGCGGTCGGTCACCAGGCGGTGGTCAAGGTGACCCTGCACCACAGTGCTCTCTGTTACACCAGCCCTGGGAATGGGGGAGTCCCAAGATTCCCAGCCTATGAAGGGGCTGTCTACCAAGGAACCACTCTGAACCCCATATTCTCCAAACTCTTCAGCCACTGCCTTCCTTGTCCACTCGTCTAGAATAAACTACTCTTTTGTTCACTAACTTTTAGGATCAATTATGATGAATGAGAGATATGAGTTGAGGGTAAGGGGCAGGGGTAGAAAGCCATATTTGGACTGCTCATGTGCACACTTCCTCCCCCCCGCCACATGCCCTAGGGAACTCTGTTCTGTGTGCTGCAGGTAGAGCGGAGCCCTCTTCCGCCTGGGCCACCCCGCCCAAGACTGCCAGTCAGAATCCCGAGTCTCTGGCTGCTGTAACTGACTCACAGATGAAGAATGAATGTGTCAGAACGGAGCACTCAGATGCTCCCAAGGGGGCTCTGCTGAATGTTGGGGTTGAGTTTGAGAAGTTTGGGACTGTGGTGGCTGCTTGTGGAGAGAGCATGTTCCAGGTCTGAAAAGGGGAGGCCTGTTAACCAAGACTCCAGCCATCTCTGAAGCCATCCGTAATGATTTGACCTAATAAGTTACCTTTTTACTTAAAATCGTTTGGACTGGGTTGCTGCCACTTAACCGATGGAGTTATTTAATCTTAGCACAGGATATTAGCCGTGAGCCTCCTGGAAGGCAAATCGAAAAGAGAAAGATGTTGAAGCACGACAAAACAGAGCCTTTTCTCCAGTGTGCGAGCCCTTCTGTGGCATCAGTGGCCCAGAGCAGCGTCTTCCACAGATGTTTCAGCGGTGACACAGACACATTCTTCCTGTGCCTTGGCTGCCTTTGGGACAAAACGTCATCAGCAAAAGAAGCAGCAGCCATGGGTCATCAGTTAGTGCTCACGATGAGGACCTCCAGTTTCCCAGCCAGAGGCCCATAGGCCAGAGACCTCAGCCTCTCCCATCGTCCCTGGTCCTGTGACCCTCAGACACAACTCCTCCAAAGGCTGCCCCAAGGTGTGACTCCAACTCATCATTTCCTTGGTTGGGAGGCTGGTGTTTCTTTGCAAGGGACTACAGAGCCATATTATACTCAACGCTAAATAAACAAATGCTTGAGTCTGTGTTTTACTGGTTCCATACCATCTGCCATCTGGTTGGGGGGGGGGAGCAAGGAAAGCTGTGGTTTTGTTGGGTTTGTGTATATGTGTGTGTTGCTGTTGTTGAGTTTGTTTGGTTTTTTTTTTTTTTTTTTTAGTTGTTTTTTTTTTTTTTTTTTTTTTCTTTTCCTCCATGAAAATTCTCTGAGGTTGAAGGCTGGCATCCGTGAGAGGCCGCTTCCCAAGCCCTCTAGTTTCCCACATCTTTACACTCAATCTAAACGGTGGAGGCTGGTCTGGGTCCCCATCTGCTAGGCAGCCTGTTGTGTGAAAAGATATCTATACATACGCAGGGCTCCTCGGGCTGCCTTCCAAGATCCGAGGGATCATTATGAGCGATCTGTGAGTGGTGGCTAGTGAATATAGACTCGACGCAGCCAGAACAGGCCAACGTGGGAGGGAGCACCCAAGAGGAGCGTGGAAGAAACCTGTCTGGATGGCAGGGCTGTGGGGCTCACTGGCTCTGACTTCAAGACCTGGGCTGCTAGAAAGGAGAGCTTGGAATGGCAAGCATGCTCCAGGGGCTGAACGGAGAACAGGCCCAGGTCTGTTTGGAATCCTTAATTTGGGAAGATGCCTGGGGGTAGGCATGAAGGGAAAGTGTGTGGCAGCAATGGAGGTGTGAGGTGCATCTTGAGGTGGGGTAGGGTGGGATGCATCATGTGGTGGCGATGGGGTGCACTGCATATTGAGAGTCGGGGTGTGAGGTGCACTGTGTGGTAGAGGTGAGGTGCATCATGTGGTGGGGGTCAGATATGGCATGCATCGTGTATGGGGAGTGGGGTGAGCAATCGTCAGCACGGCCTCAATCGTCAGCACGGCCTGCAAGCCTGGCTGTTTTGCAGACTGGAGCTCACTCTCTACCAAAGGGGGAAGTGTTCTCTGAGCCTCAGTTTTTGTAACCCTTCCCCTGGACTTCCACTTCCTCATCTACCAAACAAGGCAGAGGTGGGCCTCAGTTTCTCCACAGGACCGGGGGAGCTTAGAAGTTGACTGGTTAGGTGGGGCCCAGCCCCCAAGTGCTGACGGGAAGAGTGGCTGACCTCCGCCATCCTCTCATCTGGGTGACTAGGGCCGCGTCAGAGCCCGCAGTGAAGCCAGAGTCCCCAGGTTCTCAGTGCAGGCCAAGTCTGTGGATTTGGGGGTTTTATTGTTTACATATGAAATGCCTAATATTTCCATTACTAGCAGCTGATCAAACTGTTGAAAATTATTCTGGTCAAGTAAGACTTGTCTGTATAGCCCATGGACGGCACCCTGAATCTCCAGCTGGTGTCTTCCCTAGAGGGACTGGATCAGACTGGGCAGAACCGTGGACCAGTACCACCACGTGTTGCCTTGATGAAAGCTGAAAAGGCCAGGATCAGGCTAAGCAAGTTGGTCCTGCCCTGCCCTGCATGAACTGTGACTAATGCACCAGTCTCCAGGCACTGGTGCCTCCAGGCTCGGTGTATGGGGCTGGAAGGGCTTTTCCCAAAGATGCTACCGTGACACTCAGACCTGAGACGGCAGGTGTGAGGTTCCAGGACTCTGCAGAGTGTGGCATCTGTGCACACACCCTTCCTCTCTATTTCAGAAGTTACTGCTGGGGAGACAAAGGAGCTCTACTGTGCTCCTGTCTGTGTGCACGTGACCATGTCACACACCTGTGCACAGGTGGTATCCCAGGGCACTTCTGACTTACGTGCGTGATTGTGGTGGTGTACCTGGATGGCAGCCTGCTCCCTCCTGTCCACCCATCACAGGTTAGCAAGCCAGTAGCTCATACAAAGTGACACTTAGATGACCCATCCCTGCTCACATGCTGTCCCCCTGGGATACTGTCTCAGCAGCCAGAGACTTTTGACACGGTTTTTCTCTGGATTTGGCTGTGCTGAGCTTTCTCTCTAATCCAGCTTTGGAGAAGTCCTTGGACCATTCCATGTTCTCAGTGAAGAATCACAATGGAGATTTCTGCACAGTAGTAAAAACCTTCCCATTTGCATTTGAAATCATGTGACCAAAACAACTCAAAGTCCTCCCTTTTCCCCTTTAATGGATCTCATGTATTAAATAAGAAGCCATTATGCTATATGTCCCATGTTTAAAAATAAATATCTATTAAATCTTGGGGTGACCTTAAAACCACCACACAGGCAGGATCTCAGGTCTCACCAAGGCTTCCATCTTGCCCTGTGATCTTGGACACACCCTCTGAACCTGGCTGGCGTAAGCCACGCCCCCAGTCCTTCTCATCTCATTCCTGCAGGGCAAGGGTCAGGGTTAGATAAGCAAGGAAAAGTCCCAGGGAAGCAAACTGCCCTGAAACCTAAGGGGGCGCAAGAGTCACACAGACTCTGTTCCCGTACAAGGACAGACTGTGGGTTCTCAGAGTTAGTCACATGCTGTTCATCTCTGGGTCACCAAGCCTAACACAGCACTTGTAGAAATGGCACCCTGTACCCTGTGGCTGTGGAGGTCGCACAGGCCTTATCATCCAAAACAGACTGGGCAAGCTTCCACAGAGTTTCCCCACCCCACCACCTGCTAGACCACTAAAACTAACCCTATGAAGAAGGACTGGTCCCCCGACAGATTGGGAAACTGAGGCCCAGCAACGTGGGGCTTCTGGGGAAAGGTGGGTTGACGGAGAGGGTCTCTTGCTGAAGCACAAGGGCTCTCAGGGACTTGTCAACCCTTCTGGGGGGCAGCCAGGCTGAAAGTGAAGGGTCTGTCTCTGAGGAGACCAGGAAGCAGTTTAAGAAAATAACCAGCTAATTTGCTGTTCAGTCAGGCATGGATCTATCTCCCACTCTAAAAGTGAGGTAACATATGAGGTGATTTAAGACCCAGTGGAGATAAAATGGAGCTTAATTACTTCATGTTATTTTATTTTCTGTGACATTCAGGCAGGACACCCCCATTTCACCTCTACTCACATCAGAAATGCGCTCTCTCCACTGTTACGCACTGAAATCTTCCTAGGCATACCTGTATCTCATTGGGCTCCAGGACATCTGGGCATGATGGGCAGGTTTCAGGGGGTCCTGAGTGTCTCAGCATGAACAGACTCTCAGGGGCAAGGACAGAAAGGTAGCTAAGACATGCTCTATCTATCTATCTATCTATCTATCTATCTATCTATCTATTTTCTATCCATCTATCTCCTCTCTCCCCCATCTCTCTCTCTCTCTCTCTCTCTCTCTCTCTCACACACACACACACA